CATGTCACTGACTCAAGTACAGCATCATTCACAAATATATACTGATCCTGTCATTAATAAAATAAAATAGTTCCAATTTAAATTATTAACTTACTGCTGTCTGAACCATCTTCATCCTCTGTTGTCTCATTTTATTGATAATACTTATAATATCAATCCCTCCTTCCTTCTCTGCCTGTTGTAGTCCCATGTCTATAGCCATGAATGTACCAGTCCTACCTACACCAGCACTAACAAAACAATAAATAAATAAACACATTATGAATAAATTATAATATAAATACCTGCAGTGTACTAGCATTGGTCCTTTGGTAGGTTTGTATTCATTCTTAATTCTACGGTGAAACTGAAGTATTGATGTTGCATATTCAGGTACTCCATGATCAGGCCATGATGTGAAATGATATTGCGTGATCAGCAATGGAGGTTGATCTGAACCCAATAACTGAATAAAAAATTAGAAAATATTCTTATGTTTGATCGGCAAAAATCTATATAGTTCATTGTTTTTTTAGTCAAAATGAGAATGCTTTTTTGCTGAATAAATTGTTTGAGCTGATTCGAAATGCGATCAAAATTTCCTAGCTAAAACCATGAAATTTATTAGGATTTAATATAGTTTTTTTGTTATTAATCAGTGCCAATAATGAATAGTTATAAACACAATGTCCTCAATATATATTCTGACAACAAATTCCTGAGTTATGAGCTTTAAAAAAAGCACTCAAATTCTTATTTAATGAGTTAATTAGACACCCCACACAAATGCCACAACTAATTTCTTATGTAAACCTAATCATTCTTTACTCTTCCTCCCCCTCTCTATACTACTTGATCTCTCTCTCTCTCTCTCTCTTGTTACTTACAGTCAAATGCATTTCCCTGATGGTATAATCTGATAGTGCTTGGTCTTTAGTCAATTCAATTCTAAATGGCCCATAACTCGTGCTACCACTCTCAGGCCAGTACTGATGACACTTAATCTTCTTCTCTTCCTTCACATTAGTAACCATTACAATAACAGGTGGCTTCTCCTGCCAAATTAGCCTCCAAAAGTCAACCAGTGTTTTCGTGACTGGTCCTACAAAGGAGACATTAGTAAATTCACAGTTGTAAAGGTGTGGGTGAATGCTGGTCAGGGAAGCATGAAGAGTTGTTATTAGGATTACTACAGACTGTTATCTTAAGGATGGGTGTATGCACAGATGTGTCCATAACAGATTCCATATAAAGCATCAAAAATGCTAGTCACTTTTACACATTCACTCCCACTGAAACTATGATGACCTTTTCTATCTATAACTACTTATCCTTGTTGCCCTCTCTCTATAATAAAATGAATGACTGTAAGTATTTAGTCATATAATGACTAATGCTCCACAGTGGAATATTAATCATTATATGACTAAAATGCTTACATGCATGTAAATAAATGTACATGAGCAACCTCACTCTCAAGATAGGAGTCAATTATCCCATTACATGTACACTACTAGTCTAATTACATGTAATCATATATATATATATACCTTGTGTTGCAATGTACTTGTAGTCTTGGGAATAGCCCTATAGAAAAAGGGAACAAAGGCATATAGGTTATCTCATAGTGTAATTGAATCACTATAATAGTATGTTATGATAGCTTTGCTGCAATGAAAACATGTTTATCACTAGTGACTCACATCAATGTAGCAGGCATTAACGTAGTCATTCTGACAGTCCCTGTTGCCTGGTATCTGGTTGAGCAGTATACGATTATCATCATCTATAGATATAATAAACAATAAACATTCACGAGAAGATTTATCAAACAACAACAATACATAGGCCCCCATATCAATGTACTGTGATAGTGAAACTATAGGAGGTATGATGCAATAAATTAAAGCATAAGAATTGATAAGCTGCTACAAATATTTGTACTGCAGGTGGTTAGAAATAGCAAAACTTCATACTTGTATACACTTATTATTAAATGTACAAGTACTGTCATCATAACCATCATGAAACTGTTATAGATATAGTCAGACAAACTGTCTAAGCTTATAGCAAGTGTTATCAACAGATCATTAATCAGGTTAGAATTAATCAGTCTGCATATGGTAGACCATTAAACTGTTAGGTTGTACTATTAGGTCAGAAGCCCTGATTGCAGCCCTAGCTATAGCCAGGGCTTCATAATAGCCCTAGCTATGTCAGTACTACAAAGGCTTCTGTCAAAATTAGATTTGTTACAGTTGGTTTTAAATGATAACTTACACACGACAATGTTTGCAAAACGATTCAATGGTTTATTGCTTTGAGTAACAGCTATTGTTACTGAGTGTTCATTTTCACCACTGTTCAATGTCTAATGATAATAAAAGAAGATAATGAATAAAAGAGAAACAGAGAGAGAATGTCTTACCCCAAATTGGCTTCTAAATCCTTCGTTTCCTTTAGCGTGTCCGTTAGCAACAAATTCTCCAAATTTATCAACAGGAATCATACCAATCTTAGCACTGGATGAGTCACCATGTAACAATCTGCTCTCATCACTTCCCTCCACTGCAACTGTGAGTACAACTTGTTGACTAACTGTTCCAGCATCATTATTAGCAACAAAACGATATGTTCCTTTATGTTTTTCCTCAACACTCAGTAGCAGTAGACTACCATCTCCTCTCAGCTCATGAGCATAATCATCAGTCACTGGTTCTCCATTATGATACCAATTAAAAGATGGTTTTGAAGTTTCTTTAACTTTAACTTTAAAAAGAACCTCACGACCTTCCTCAGTTGTCATATTACTAGGGAACTCTTCTATCACTGGAGGTGTAGCAGCTTTGAAAGGAGCTGGAGGAGGAGGAGGGCCATGTCTTGTTTCCACTAAAAGAATTGAAGCATTAGGAATAAATGAAGGAAAAGCATAATAATATATACACTCATTATTATTCACACAAATTATAGGTATCATTTATCCTCTATGTTTCATGATTTTAATAGCTTTGGATATTTTAAGAATTATTCTATATAAATTGCTTACGTTTAACTTCTTCATATTGTCCAACTTGATCAACACTATAGGATACTGCTTCTGGTGCTGCTTGTTTAGTTCGTGTGTTATAATAAACAACTTCGTCTTTACCTTTCTTTTTCCTAAAGAACATTCACTTTATTGCACATCATGCAACAGCTTACCTCCAAACAACTACTACTACAATGATAACAATGACTAATCCTATTACTAATAGTAATGGTATTATTATTCCTGCTGCTATAGCACCACCTGAGCTACCACCAGCACTACTCTCAGGTGGATTAGAACTGGCAGTACTAGTAGTCACTGGAGTACCTGTACAATATGACCATTGTGTGATTGATTATGATCAGTGACTTACTTGAAGTTACAATTGCAGTTGAAGTCTGCATTACAGTTGATGTCTGCCTTAAAGTTGATGGCTGCATTACAGTTGATACCACTGAAGTACTTGATACTACAGTAGGAGTTAAAGTGGCACCTAATCACATAAAAAATTGCAGTAAAATATTGCAATTTTTCTTCATGTACCTGGTGGTATTTTTTGAGTCCTCTCTCCTTCATAAGTCCTTCCATTAACATTAAATGATATAGATATAGAGAACAAGTAGTTCAGATTAGGATCTAATCCTCCTATTAGACCTTCAGTAGTATCACCTGGGAATACTCTCATTCCTGTCTCTACTTGTCTCTTCTTTCTTGAGGAGCTACTGGTTGACTCATAATAGACAGTATAATGACTAGCTCCAGAAACAAAACCCCACACAGCCCTCACTGCTGTAGAATTGAGCTTTGTTATAGAAAAGTTTTGATTGACAGCTAAAATTTTTTAACCATTATCATTATAGTATTCTCAGTAATTTCTTACGTATTTCAATAGTAGTGTATTCTCCATCAGTCCATTCTCCTGGTCCAATACTAGTATATGCTCTCACTCCAATAGTATAACTAGTATTAGGTATCAATCCTACTATACTGTAATAAGTGTTAGTAGTGTTAGTTATATTGTATGAACCAGTACTGGTAGACTTTCTATATCTTATCTCATATACTGTAATGATACCATTAGGTATTGTAGGAGGATTCCATATAATAACAATTTCAGTTGGTGGCCTTGAATGTCTTAGATCAGATATCACACCAGGAACTGTGTTAAGATCATGTTAAACTAATCAATATCTCATTGACTTACTTGATTCAGCAGTTAATTGTATTTCTTGTCTAGCTGGTCCATTCATATTATAATTATAAGGTATTATACTCACAGTATAGTTAGTATATGGTATTAATCCTGTGAGATTATACATTCTGTTGTCTCCTCCAGTGATATTAACAGTATAACTAGTGTTTGAAGTGATGTTAGTGTATGTGAGGTAGTATCCAGTGATTGGTCCATTCCTTCCATTGCAAGGTACTTCATCCCATGAGACAGTCATTGACACTGACTCTACTGATGAGAATATAATATCATCCACTGGTGCAGTAGGGGCTATAGAAAAAAATGATGATAATTTTTATTTATCAGCAGAGTAAATTACCAGTTGAAAGTGTAGTAGCTAAAAAAATAGTAGTCAAATAAGCTATCTCAGCTCCATATACTCCAATAAGATCAAAGCCACATTGACTGTAAGGAGGTATACCAGTTGAAGTATGTGGTGATGAAACTGATGTTTCATTATTACTAGTAAATGATGATTCACATACTCTCCTACATCTCCTATTAATATTATAACTAATTGGTACTACAGCAGTTGGTGGACTCCATGTTAATGTAATGGAAGCACTTGTAATTTGAGTTGTAAGATTGTTCACAATGGGATTGCCTAAAATAGTTTAAAAAAATCTATATATATATATATATATATATATATACATATATCACATTTATTATATTATAATACATATAAGTTACATCTCTCATTAATAAGATTCATTAATGTAATAATTTGTATAACATGATGATACATTGAATTGTGATATAGAATACACACAATATCTGTAACTTACTAATTGTTAACATAACTGAAGCATTACCACTAGGTAGAGAAGCTGATCCATAAGATACTACATAAAAAGTGTATGTACTCCCTTGGATCAATCCTGATGTTACATTGATTGTTGCATAACTAGTGTTGGATATACTAACAGGAGTATTACTAGACAGTTGATAGTAGACCTCATAACCAGTAGCTCCTGATACAGTAGACCAGGAGAGTCTTACATGAGCTAAACCAGTACTTAATCTTGTAGCAGTTAAACCAGTTGGAGTATCAGATACTGAAAAATACAAAAATGATATAATTTCAACGATCAATGACAAACCTGATACATCATCAAATGATAAAGTACTACTAACTGCAGTAGGATGACTATTACCACTAATAGGACCATTAGTTACTCTGTCATTAGATACAGTACACTGATAGTTACCAGCTTCTCTCAGTCTCACTGTTACTGTCACTCTTGTAACAGATTCTGATCCATTCACTATCACACGAGAAAGTTCAGTAGATATTCCATTCCCATTCACTGAACAATTGACAGTAGTAGGAGGACCATCAGAGACATTGAAACTGAGACTGAAGACTGGAGGAGTAGCTAATCTACTAGTGGAGAGGAGAGAGAACTGCATAGTAGGATCAGCATCAGGACCATCTGTAAAAGAAGTACATTAATTATAGTCTATATTCATCACATACCATTGTTATTGTATCCACTATCAGTATATGCTCCAACCACTAGTGTTTGACTCACTCCATTCTCATCAGGAATGATACACTTGTATAAACCTTCATATCCTGATAGTCCATCTCTTCTAGCTAGTGCAATCTGACCACTGAATCTCTTACTGTACACTGGTCTAGGAGCTAATGAATCACCCAAGTCTTCATAAATTAAAGGTACTTCAGTTCCATTAGGATAATACCACACTCCAATATTAGTAACATTGTTAGCACTCTGACACCACAAAGCATCATTGATGCCATCTTTGTTATCATTCTGATCAAGATCATAAAACTGGCTAGCATATATCATAGAGTAATCAGGTATTATCTTGTTCTCATAGGCTAGGTAGAGTCGAACACCTATTAGTAATATGTAACATTTGTTCATTCAGAAACAACTTTTATTTCACTCTTACCATTGCTGGGTAGTGTGGTAGGTGCTTGTCCTTCTCCCACTTGAGCTAGTGACAGTATAAGAAAACAGCACATACACTTCCACAGGGCAGTAAAACCAGAGCAACCAGTCAATCTCTTCATCTTGTACTGGTACAGGAAATGCCCTTGAGCAAATGAATCATAACAATATTCATGAGTTGCACAGGAAGCAATCCAATACAAAAATTCTGCATAATCAACAAAATAAGACTTGCCAACCAAATATGACAAGTAACATTGTCACCCAGCTAATACTATCAATTAACAAAGTTTAATATTACTATTTTAATAAAAATTAATCAGCACAAAGTCACAAAATACACAAACTAGAAAAATCTCTAATAATATTAATAATAATCTTTTTTTGCATGTATGTATGTATGCGTTGTATATTATTAATTAAATGTGTTTGTGTGATAGAAGAAACAACAACAAGAAGGAGCAGGTACAAGCAGTTTTTAATTACATATCTTTAAAGTTAGCATAAGGATCAAAGGACTCTACATAATCGGCTAAAACTTCATGACAAAAGACATAATGATCCTTTAAAAAGAAAACAGAAAGAAAAGACATTGAAAGAATAAAAAAGAAAGAGAAGGAGAGGAGAGAAAGGGCCAAAAACAAGAAAAAAATATCAATAAAAGTTATGTTTGTCATACTGTCATTACAATTCTTACCAGTTCTGATAGAAGTCCAATGCGTCTGGTGCGAGCAGTCTTGAGGTATTTGAAGACGTCAACTTCTCCTTCAGTTTTGAGCCGCTCAAGTTGAGAGTGTATGCAAAGGAAAGCACCAGATCTACCAACACCATCACTGGAGGGAAATAAAATATATAATTTAACAACTGAATACACAATTACGTTGTTAAAGTAAAAAATACATTATTTAAAACCACATAACACTATTACATTGTAAATGTGAAACAACAGAAGGGTTGTTATAACAAAACACGTCTTTGTTAGTTTTATCAGTTTTGGTTTGCCTACTCCTTTCCCAGTAACTATTATCTTCCAATCTCTTTCCCGTTTTTTATTATCATCACTTTAGAACATTCACATTCACTCAATATTTCAATTTCACATTTCAATAATAATAATAATAATAATAATAATAATAATAATAATATCACAAGTTTCATTTTCTAAACTATTTCATTAACAATCAGGAATTTTCTTTTAAAACAGTCCCTTAATCAAATTCAATTTTACTAATCTGTTTTGTTATCTATGTTCCTCCCTCCCTCCCTCTCTCCCGCCCTCCCTCCTTCTCTCCCTCTCTCTCCCTCCTCCTCCATTACTCACTTGCAGACAACAGTAATAGCCTTGTTTCCAGAGTTCATTTGTGCTCTTGTCAATAAATCAATCAGTTCAATGATGGACCCAGTGCTGGTTGGGTGACCATGCTCGGGCCAAGTGGTGAAATGGAACTGTGTCACTACATGTCCTTCACGCTCGCTCTTGCCACCCTACACAATAACATGACAAGAACAACCAGTAAATATGTTGTGCTAGAAATGTTTTTCCTACAACATACAGTATATAAAGTGTACTGTACTATTTTCCTTCCCTGTTTATTTGTACATATTTATGTGAGGCAGTTACAGTATGGGGTAGTCACAGAACAATCTCATGAAAATATAAAGCAATGGATAAAGGGGTAACCAATAAAAAAGTGATACTAATAATAAGGTTGGTAGCACTTTAACACCATTTACACATACATGTACACACAATTTAATAAATTCTATGTACATGCACCAGCATAGACATGCAAATATGTAACTACTGTATATGTGAA